CATTTTCAAATGGCATATCTGAGAAAGGGTTAGTATCCAAAATATATAAAGAGCTTATAAAACTCAACACCCAAAAAACAAATAATCCAGTTAAAAAATGAGCAGAAGACATGGATGGACATTTTTCCAAAGAAGACATACAGATGGCCAACAGACACATGAAAAAGTGCTCAATATCACTGATCGTTGGAGAAATGCACATCAAAACTACAATGAGATAGCACCTCACACCTGTCAGAATGGCTAAAATTAATAACACAGGAAACCACAGGTTTTGGCAAGGATGTGGAGAAAGGGGAATCCCCTTGCATTGTTGGTAGGAATGCAAACTGATACAGTCATTCTGGAAAACAGTATGGAGGTTCCTCAAAGAGTTCATAGTAGGACCACCCTATAATCCAGCAAATGCACTACTAGGTAGTTACACAAAGGATACAAAATTACTAATCAAAAGGGATACATGCATCCTGATGTTTATAACAGCATTATCAAAAATAGACAAACCATGAAGAGAGCCCAAATGTTCATCAACTGATGAATGGATAAAGAGGATGTGGGGAGGGTGCCTGCATGGCTCATTCGGTTAAGTGTCTGCCTTCAGCTCACATCATGATCCCAGGGTCCTGAGATTGAGCCCTTTGTCAGGCTCCCTGCTTGGTGGGGTGTCTGCTGCTCCCTCTCCCTCTGCCTGCCACTCCCCCTGCTCATGCGCTCTCTCTCTCTCTCTAAAAAAAAAAAAAAAAAGAGGATGTGGTGTGTGTGTATAATGAAATATTACCCATCCATGAAAAAGAATGAAATCCAGCCATTTGCAATGATGTGGATAGGGCTAGAGAGTATTATGCTACATGAAATAAATCAGTCAGAGAAAGACAAATAACATATGATTTCATTCATAAGTGGAATTTAAGAAATAAATGAACATGGGGTAAAAAAAGAGAGAGGCAAGCCAAGAAACAGACTCTTAACTATAGAGAACAAACTGATGGCTACAGGAGGGGAGGTGAGTGAGAGGATGGGTTAAATAGGTGATGGGTATTAAGGAGGGCACTTGTGATGATCATTGGGTGTTGTATATAAGTGATGAATCACTAAATTCTACATCTGAAACTAATATTGCACTGTATTTTAACTAGCTGGAATTTAAATAAAAACTTGGGGGAAAAAAGGATCTGGGTTTCTTAGATTCCACACTGAATTTTAATCTGCTTAATAAAAGGTAGGCCTAGCTTGGACAGAACCACCGTAAGCACCCTTGATTATTCATCCTAGGACTGAGAAGCTCACACAACAATGGGACTTCCAGGTAGGGAATGGGTTGGTTCAATGATCTACAAAGGTGTCCAGTTGGTATGGAGTTCAGGAGAAACTGTTTTTCTACCTACTATACTTTCATGTTATATGCCAAATAACCTAGGGATGATGTTCTTAAGGAGCTACTGAATCTCAGCTCCCAGTGAGTCTGGATAAAGCAGGCAATTGTCCCATAACATGAAGGTACAGTATCCCAGAAAACCACCCATCTACCTACCAACTACATCAACACTAATGAAGATTCAATAGTTCAGTGTGATTCCTCTCAATGTCCTACCTAGACATGTCAGAGCTTAAATAAATTCTAGAGAGTGCTTCAGAGATGGAGAAAATAAAAGCCCATGATCATATACCTAATGGTTGGGAGAGCTATGACTAGAACTCAGGTCTCTTATTTCTTAATATTGTTAGTACCATTTCCATAAGACCATTCTACCCTCAACAAAAATCGATGTAGAAGAATGGAGATAGTGATTTTATTTTAAAAATATCTACTAGGAAAGAGCCTACATAACCTCCATCATTCAAAACCTTGAGTATCACAGAATTTTACCAGAAATGTAAACCTAAACATAAATACTCATTAAGGAGAGTTGAAAGGTCTACCTGTGAGACAATATTCATGTCATTCATGCAACAGCCTGACTCCATTTCCTTTTACTGGGGATACCACAACAGCTGGCCCCTAAGGTTCTATGGTACTCCCCTGTAGAGATGTGAAGATCATTCAACTATTATTAAACAAAGGTTCACAATGATCAAATGCTCATTCTGAATACAATTTCAGGCAACATGCAATGCTATCTTAGTTTCTCAAAGAATAAACATTGGTATAGGAGACGGATTTGATCTCTAAGTTATGATTTGGGCCCTGTCATTAACGGTCCTGATCTATTATCACAGTCCTCAGTCTAGACTTGCGCTATCTAATACAGTAGCAACTAGCCACATGTGGCTAATCAACACATGAAGTGTGACTAATATGAATGAAGATGTGCTGTCAGTATAGAATACACTCCAGATTTCAAATACTTAGAAAAATATATTATTAATAATGTTCATAGTGATAATATATGGTGTTATATGATAATATTTTAGATACATTGGGTTAAGAAAAATATATTAAAATTAATTTCACCTGTATTTTTTTTACTTTTTTTTTTTTTTTACTGTGGCTATTAGAAAAATTTAAATTATATTTGTGGCTCACATTATATTTCTACTGGACTGTGCTGGTATAGACCAGTGGTTATTAACACCAAAGATTGTGATTTAACTAGCTTGGAGACTGAGGTTTGTTTTGTTTTGTTTTGTTTTAAAGATTTTATTTATTTATTTGACAGAGAGAGACATAGTGAGAGCAGGAACACAAGCAGGGGGAGTGGGAGAGGGAGAAGCAGGCTTCCCGCGGAGCAGGGAGCCCGATGTGGGGCTCGATCCCAGGACCCTGGGATCATGACCTGAGCCGAAGGCAGACGCTTAACGACTGAGCCACCCAGGCGCCCGGAGACTGAGTTTTGATGGATTTTTTTTAAGCTGCCCAAGTGATTTATTTCATCATGCAGCCAAGACTGAAAACCACTGGGCTAGACTCCATACCATGCATGCCTGAGTCAGCCAGTAGCCTTCTCAAAGGTCAGCTTCAGTCCATGCAAGTGGCTGCTGGGACTGTGTGCTTAGAGGAACACTTTTCCTGACCCTGCATGTAGAAGCATAAATGCCAGTTCATTAATAAGCTAAAGCCTGGCTTTGCTTTTTGCCTCCCTGAGTCATTCTGCCTTGCTCCATCATTTTGCCCCATCCCTTGATTTACTGTTTATTATAAAAATGATATTTTGGGGCACCTGGGTGGCTCAGTTGGTTAAGTGTCTACCTTTGACTCAGGTCATGATCCCAGGGTCCTGGGATCCCTGCTCAGCGGGAGCCTGCTTCTCCCCCACCCTCTGCTGCTTTCCCTGCTTGTATTCTCTCTCTGTCAAATAAATAAATAAAATATTTTTTTAAAATGACATTTCACAGAAAGTGAAATACCTTTGAATTGGGGTGACACTGGGTGCAATTTAGTCCTTCCTTTAAAGAAGGATCTGTTAGCCGAAGATACACAAGCTATTTCTTTATAGGACCTCACACTCATCCCAAAAGGCATGGTTCTGCTTCTGAGTACTGTCCTCACCTAAATCATTCCAACCAGATAACAGTGTTTCCTGGGTTTACAGCCCTCCAAGGAAGGAGGCCTCTTTTAACCATTAAGGCCAGCCTTGATACATACACATTTTGGGGCTAATAAGGTGGTGGTGGTGGTGATAATGAGGATGATGATGATGATGATGATGATAAAGCAAGTTACCATTTGCCAAGTACCTACTGTGTGGCAAGCACTGCGCTAAACACTTTACTCCCTTATGTGATTTCATTTAATCATCATAAAACGTCTGTTATCCCTATTTTTCAAATGAGGAAATCAAGGTTCAGGGAATTAAGTGTTGCCAAAAGCCATGGAGTTGGGAGGTAGTAAAGCTGAAATTGCATTTCAGGTTGTCTGATTTCAAATAAACTGCTTCTTCACAATATTATCATTGTAGTCTTGAGGCCCTTCATCTTCCAAGAGCCCAAACCACTCTCATCTTTTGTTTGACATCAGGTATCTTACAGAAGAAACCGACAAAAGGTGATAGGCTATGGTAAGTATGATCAGAAGATATCCTGATGTAGCCTGGGTACTTATACTGCTACAAAGTTGTTGCCATGTACATTATCAGATTCATTATGATATCCACTAGCATAAAAGAATTATCAACACCATTTTGTGGATGGGGAAAATCAGAGCTCACAAATACCAAAGAAGAGATTCTAGCTCATAATTCCCAAGAGCTGGGACTCCAGAGCTCTTACTGCATAGCATCTTGCCAATTGGTAACCCAGAGGAAGCAGAAACTGCTAAGGTGCCCTTTCTCAAGAGGCCCTTTCATTAACGGCCAGGTTCTTCATGGCACAATGTCAAAAGGGCCAAGGTCTTACAAGCACTATCAAGCTGCCTGCTTCCCACCCTCAGGACATCTTAGATCCCAGCCACCTGACTCAATGTAAAATCTGCAATCAGTAAACTGTAGCCCCTGAGAGGGTAGGGAGCCCACACTCTTACATTAATAGCTGAAGACAACACACAGGGTTGTTCACACTTCCCTAAATAAGAGAAAGAAGGCAAAGGAGGCAGAGAGGAGTGAGGAAGGGAGGGGACGGGAAGAGAGGGATCTATAAAAAGAAAGAACAAAAGAGAGGAAACAAGGAAAATAATAAAAGCAGGAAAGAAGAGAGGTAAGAAACGTAAGTTCACAGCAATATAGAGTTAAAAGAGTCTTCAAAAACCATCTAGACCAAAAGGGAAGTGATTTGTACAAAGTCACAACAGGTAGGAGGCAGGAGGCAGGAGGCAGACAGAATATGGGGATTGGTAAAATAAACAAGGGGAAAAATGAAAAGACTCAAAATTAGAAGGGGAAAGATTAAAGGAGGCCCATGTCCTGGGTAAAAGACCAAAAAGGGGGAGGGTATATGTGAGAGGAGCCACCAGGAGAGAAATGAGCAGAAGAACAAAGGCTGGTGAGGGGAAAGCCAGGGGCAGGTAGCCAAGGAGACAAGAGAGGAAAGTGAAGGCTGAGGAGAGGAGAGTGAAGGCTGACACTCACCCTCACAAAGCTGGCAGGAAACCATCCCTCCTCATCGTCGATCTGGCCCCACCACCAATCCTTGTTGGAAGCATCCAAGACTTTGATGACGTCGCCAGCCTTAAATGCCAACTCCCGGTTGGCCATGGTGACGTGATCCCATACTGCCTCAGCACTAACGATGGAATCTCCAGTGATCAGCTTAGGAGACAAAATGAGAATGTGTTCAGTCCACACAGCTGGCTACCTTACTTGTCCCTTACCCCACCCACAGAACTCTATTAGTTATGGAAAAACTGACATACTAGTGGTGAAGGGTTGGGGAGAGGGAGATGGCACTAGGAGCACAAGCTCCACTGGACCACAAGACAAACAATACTTGTCAACTCTCCATTAGATAGTGGGTGGAATGGCCCAGAATGTGAATATGGACTACACAGGCCTCATGCTTTTATTCCTACTCATGAGCTTTTTCCCCAGAGAAGAAAGAAATTTCCAGTGCATCTTCCTTTGGTGCTTCAAGGCAGCCCTGGGTCTGGAATGGGTGAAGAGGTTGAAATCAAAGACTAAAATGAAGCTCAAACATATTTGCTCTAAATTTTCTGTGTTCCTCCCCTTTACTTACTCCTCCTTGGAACTGACCAATTGAGAGTTTGTGGTATATTATTTAACACCACTGTACCCCACCCCCATGGGTTATAGACCATGGCATTCCTCACAGACAATGGACTCCAGTCCTGCAGCCTCCTGTTCTCACCCACACATGATGCTATCCAGAGAGGTCATGGGTATGAAAGAATATGGCTTTCTGTGATGGCTTGCTTCCATGAAACTCAGCCTTGGCACAGATCCACTCAGTGATTTGTTACCGCCACCCTGTGAGATACATAAGGAGTCTAGGTTGAATCCTCCATTTGATAGATGGCATAACTGAGCCACAGTGAAGTTAAGGGGTGAGCTCAGGATCATCCAGCAAGGCAGGGGCTGTGCAAAGACCTTAACCCTGGTCATTAAACTCTGTGGCAAGTAGGACTACGCTACACACAACAACAGGATGATATCTATCCCAGTGCCACATCACACACACACACACACACACACACACACACACACACTCACAACACTTGTCTAAGCACAGTGATGGAGATGAGGGTGGAGGAAGAGTCTGCCTCTCTTTCTGGTTGCCATCCTGACCCCTGTGTTGTTTGTTCTCCTTTTTCCCCAACTGGTTCCAGCCTATATGGGCCATCAATCTTCCTGGCATTCGGAGAAACAGATCCCAGAACAAAGAACATATGGCCTGTCAAGGCAAAAGATTCAAGAACACTTTCTCTAGCATTAAATTTCTGAACATGTTCTCTAGAAGTCAATTTTTCTATCAGTCTGCTTTGAGGAGGGACTGATTCCCCAAGGTAACTGTAGCTCCACAAGACCAAAGACAAAACAGTTCAAAGATAACAGAGACAGGGCGCCTGGGTGGCTCAGTTGGTTAAGCAACTGCCTTCGGCTCAGGTCATGATCCTGGAGTCCCGGGATCGAGTCCCGCGTCGGGCTCCCTGCTCAGCGGGGAGTCTGCTTCTCCCTCTGACCCTCCCCCCTCTCATGCTCTCTCTATCTCATTCTCTCTCTCAAATAAATAAATAAAAAATCTTTAAAAAAAATGATAATAGAGACAGAATATGGAACATGCATCCTCTCACATAGGACTGCCTTTCAATATACCAACTGGAGAATAACATTATGGTCATGAAATTAACACATAACACATTACATACATATGAAAACACACCCACATACTGATCTTTTGATTTAGTTAAGTAATTCTGTTGGTCAGGTAAGGCATACTGGGAGCTCCTCAGCATGGATGCAAATGAGATTTCCAATAGGGCCTTTTATAACACCACCTTTCAAGTACCTCATGCTTTACTATTTATAAAGTATTTTCATATCTACTGCACCACTTGATCCTTACTGAATGACTAGGTCTCACTATTACCCATATTTTAAAGATAAGGAATCTGAGGCTCAGATAGGTGACCTATCCTTTGTTCAGTCATACAAGTAATAAATTATGGAGCCTGGCATTCTGAGAGCATATGCTCTAATACCCATCATACCATACTAACAATGTCTATTCATTAGCTACACTGAACTCATAGAACTCCATCCATAATATCAGAAACCAGATGAATCCTATTCGTAAAGAACTACAAAGAAAGAGGTATGGACAGCCACCTTTAGTCACCAGTGGCCCTGCCTATGAAAAGTTGTTTTATGTTGAGCCTGCTTTCTTCCAATTGCACTAAAAGTCAATTTCTTCTTGTTCTAGCCTCAGTGGAGAATTGCTGGTCACTGGCCTTAACAGAATAAATCTTCATAAAGAAAATCTCCCTCTCCTGCCAAGTATGGGTTCCAACTGGTGTTGTTAGAGCTCAATAAGCACATACAGCCCCAACTCAAAGCACCATGAAGGCTTGTGGCTTAAAGCTGTATCTTGGCTTTTTACCAAAGGTCAAGCATATCTTGGTATCAATTACTAGTCCTCTGCTCAAGATGCTATCTGTGATACTGTCTGAGGTACCCTAGGCCCAGGTCTGGCTGATTCCACTGCCTGTGCTCTTTCTACAGTGCAGTCATCTTTTTAGCAACTTCATGTTTGGCTTTTCCCAGCAGCAGTTGGCTCACTCTTGTCCCCATTTAGTCCAGTGGACCTGCCTGGGCCCTCAGATCATAGAGCCCAGCTATACCCTAGACAAGGCCAATCTAGGATCCAGTGGCCATAAACCAACTGGTAAGCCTGTTGTCAGGGCCTACTTGGAATCAGAAACAGTCAGAACTAAACAGCATTTCAAAGATCATCACCCTTAAGCCTTCATTTTATAGATCAGGTATGATATAGCAGGAGTAACTTGCCTACAGTCATCAGATGGCCAGCCTCCTAGACCACTTTTTTCCCAAAGTAATACCATAGATAGAGAAGGTAGAAAAGAACACCTGGATTTAAGACCTTCCTTTGTTACTTGCTAAAGTTGTAATGATGATGATGTTATTAGCTAATATTAACTAATAACGTCAGGCACTATTCCAAGCACTTTACACACATTAATTCATTAAAGCCTCACAACAGCCCTTTGAAGAAATAGTATTATTATTCCTATCTTATAGATGAGGATATTGAAGCACAGAGAGGTTAAATAATTTCCCCAAATTTACACAGACAATAAGTATTAAAGACATAATTCAAATGCAGCTACACTATGGCTCTAGAGTATCTGCTCTTATAAACTATGGTGCCACTGGGTCAGTTTCTTTACCTGTTAAACATGAATAATTCTGCATATCCACTTGCTTCATGAATTATAACATACTGAACCAAGAGTTGATGGATATGTGTGCAGACATGAGAGAAGAGTTATTCCAGAAGAGGCTGGTAGCTGTATGGGGCTCCTGTGCTCTCCAGTCACAAATATAAGCAGGAATAAGGGTATGCTACTCGCCCATCCTCTGAGTTGTTTTAAAAGTGAATTAAAACTGGAGGGTATTAGGTTCAGTGAAATAAGTCAGTCAGAGAAAAACAATTATCATATGGCTTCACTCATATGTGGAATATAAGAAATAATGCAGAGGATCAGAGGGGAAGGGACAGAAAACTGAATGGGAAGAAATCAGAGAGGGAGACAAACCATGAGAGACTTTGACTCCGGGAAACAAGCTGAGAGTTGTAGAAAGGGAGGTGAGTGGGGAGGATGGGGTAACTGGGTGATGGGCATTAAGGAGGGCACGTGATGTGATGAGCACTGGGTGTTACACACAACTGATGGATTATTGAACACTGCATCTGAAACTAACAAGGTACTATATGTTGGCTAATTAAATTTAAATTAAATAAATAAATAAAAGTGAATTAAATTTGGGCTTGAAATTGGTTTCAAATCTCCCTTTTGTGTATAGAATTGACTTAACTTGCTACAATTTTTGATAAATATGCACTTTGCTCATCTATTTTCCATCCAACCCTCATTCAGTGAGCCATGACTGTATACAGGGATCTTCTTACTATGATTCAGGCACAGTCCTTACTTGAAGAGCAAAGGCACTTCAGGTACTAACAGTGAATGTCCTTCAAGCAGTATGAAAATATGGTTAAGGGCAAGCAAACCTAGCTTCAATTCTGGACTTTCCTAACTTAGAAAGTAGCAGTGACAATGGAAGGTGAGGAATAGAAGAGCCAGAGAAACAAACCAAAATGGAACTTTCAGCATGTAATTAGGATACCAAGAAGTGCAATATCACAAAAGCCAAGGACAGCAGTTTCAAGCTATACAAACTTGGGCCTCAGTTTCTTCATACATAAAATGGGGATAATAATACCTGCCTCACAGGCAGGGTTATAGATAGGGTAAACTGAGCACTAGATATACAGTGCCTACTACAATGCTTGGTATATGTTGGTTTAGTATAAGACTTCAGAGGAAGGGAGTAATATATGTGGCTACTGGGCTCTAGAATAACTTTGTGGGACACTGAAAGATAGGCCTTAAAGAATGGGTAGGATTGTAACAGATACAGGAGGGAGAAGGAAAAGCATTTGAGGCAGAGGAATGAGGAATGAGATTAAATAAAATCTCAGAGGTAAAGACTATGGAGAATTTGGTAGCAAACAGGTAGTAGAGTTTGGAAAAGGGTGGGAAGAGGGGTTTGGGGGAGCTGGGGAAGGACAGATGGAAAAGTAGCCTGGAGTCCTGTTTGAAGGCTCTTAAATCTAATTTGAGGAAAAGGAGGAAGTCAAAGTTGATTTGGGGGGTGGAGGTGGTATTTCAAGCCAAAGTGTGATGATTAAAGCATGAGGGTAAGTTACATGAAGAAATCCTTGTTTGCTGGGTCATAGGGTAGCTCTATTTTTAATTTTTTGAGGAACCTCCACACTGTTTTCCAAAGTGGTATATCAACTTGCATTCCCACCAACAGTGTAAGAGGGTTCCCCTTTCTCCACAACCTCTCCAACATTCGTTGTTTCTTTCCCTGTCTGCAATAGCCAAGCAATAGCCAAACTGTGGAAAGAGCCGAGATGCCCTTCAACAGATGAATGGATAAAGAAGATGTGGTCCATATATACAATGGAATATTACTCAGCCATCAGAAAGGATGAATACCCAACTTTTACATCAACATGGATGGGACTGGAGGAGACTATGCTAAGT